AACTTGTAGAATTCATATTGTTTTGAGGAGTTTCTTTTTTTCAATGTCAGTGTTGTAATTAACACTCGATACTCTTTTGTCGTAGAGTTTGATTAGAATTCTTTTCTTCACCCCTTTTGTAGACACTGGCAACATTTTTTTTTAGGATTTAACGTGAAGTTCATTTCATCTCATCCTCGTCGCCAAGATGTTGTGACCAAGTAAATGGTTAAAGAAATAACAGAACAAGTCTTACAGATATATATATATATTAAACAGTAAGTACAACAGAAGAGTATTACACGACTAGTGAGTTTTTGTCGGTTGACCCAGCGCAGAGTCCAATATAGACTCTTTAGAGAGAGGACACAACAACAACAACAACAATAATAATAATATATTAAGGAGAATACTGAGTTGTAGAAGACACTTGTCTCTTGATCTTGAATGTGAGCTACGATATTTTGAAGGAACTTAAAATAAGCTGACCGTAGTCGAAATCATAGAGCCTTTGTAAACTACACGACTTGTCCGTCTTCTAGACTGGATGCGAAACAAGGATAAAAGAAATATTTTTATTGAAGGGTTATTTGTTTTATGTCACCTTGTGAAGTAAGAATACTTAAAATTAATTGAATGTGCAGCCGGTCTAATGGATAACGGCTCAGAATCAGAAATCGATCAGTCGAATTCGATTTCTAGTCGAGTTCGTTACATCCACTTACGAGTAAAAACCTTTGGGAAAGGAATGAATCCATTTCATCTCTCCAGCTATGGGTTAAATAGTCAGACTTATACCTAGAAAAGTCAGTGTTATTCTCAAAAAATATTATTAATGCAATATTCACTCGCAAAAAAAAAAGAAAATAAATATTCTTACAATCCAAGATCTAATTCGGTTTTAAATAACTAATATAATGGAATATGCATACACCTGAGTTCCCCATCACTGGAATATGATTGGCTGGTGTCCGTCATAAATACAGACGGACGTGTAGGTACGACAGAGTTTAAGTCTATGACGACGCCCATTGGACTATGCCATTGGCTATTTTATTGGTCTACACTTCTTACCTGCGACTATGACGAGTACCAGTCGATTACTGCTACCGTTTACTACTTGGTTATAGTAGCCAAAACCACTTAGCTACTTCAATCAAATATATCCGTTTCCGAGACATCTCAATAACCCATAAAGGCTTAATAAACCGTAAAACAAACAATGAATTAAAAAATCAGAAAATAAAGACTCACACGTGAAAACTTTATTATAAATAGAAAAGACGTAAAGCCATCAGTTTTGACAGCGTGTGTATATTATTAACATAAGATCCTGTAGGACAAAATTTGGGTTATGATTTCTATTGTTCCTAAGTACAGTGGGCTATGATAAGTTTTTAGCCAACATAAATTACAGTAATTTTGGCTTATGTAATAACGTATCTTCTTCTTTTTTCAGACAATACCGTGTTAGTATCAAGCTACTCTAATCTATGAATGATAGTTGACTTATATTTTGCAATGAAAGTTCCCGGAAGTAAGGCAGTTGGTGAATTTCAACAAGGGCAAATAATAGGATGGAATCAATATGGCAAGTCAAATAGAGAAATTGCTAGGTTTTTCCAGGTTAATCATCAAATGGTTAATAATATTGTCAAGAAAATTAATGAAGAAGGCCATTGTCGTGTGGAACAACGTTCAGGAAGACCAAGCATTGTGTCCGTGTGAACGAAAAGTGCGCTGAAGATGTAAGTCATCAGAAACCGTCGTCAGAGCGTCAAAGATGTCACCAACAGCATAGAAATGTCTCCATATGCGGTGAAATAGACTCTGAAAGAGCTATAGGCTATCAAAGAAGAGTTGCAAGAAAGAAGCCCTTGATTTCAGAGGTTAACAGGAACATGCGTATGGACTGGGCGAGAGAATTCGAGAGCAAAGATTATGAATTTTGGCAGTCTGTAATTTGGTCAGATGAAAGTAAATTCTGCCAATATTCGAATTCAAGACAGGTTTATGTTTGGAGAAATCAGAATGAGATTTGGAACACTGAATATCTCCATTGCATATTATGCTATTCTCTACATTTAACTCATGTCTTGATTCTTTGTAGTGTCTTTTTGACATTGTACAATTGTTCCATGTGTTTCTTTTATTCTGTCTGAAATTCTACTTAGTATTGGATTTTTTATGGTTTCCATTATGAAACGATTTAGGGGGTAACATGTCTGTTTTAACCCAGTGCAGTATTTTATCTTCTTTCTTTTCAGACGTTTCTATTCTTTTCTGTTGGAATTTTATCAGGATGTGTGGAATAGAATTCTCCTTTACGTATAAGATGTCGAAATCAAAGCCCACGAGTTTTATAGCCAATCTTAACATTCTAGATGTGACTTTTGGTAATTCCTTTCTGAGGTTAAATATAAACTCTAATGTTTGTGATCTGACTTTAACAAAAATTTTCTTCCTAACAAAAAATTTCGAGCTCTTTCTGTGTTCCATACCATTATTAACGCTTCTTTCTCAATATTTGAGTAATTGGCTTCAGCTGACGTTAATTTCCTCGACAGGTACATTATTACGGTTACAGCATGTTCACTTGCATCCATAGTCAATATCACTTTATTTTTGCATCAAACATTTTTGTAATCGGTTTTCTCATTAGTGTCTTTTTTAAGCTTTTAAAAACCTATATTTTGCCTTTGAGTCCATTTAAATTCTGTCTTCTTTTTTCAGTAATTCTGCAAATGGTTTCATTAGGTCGCTGTATCTAGGTAAATATTTATTATAAAATTTGCTCAATCCCCAAAAGAATTCTAATTCTCCTTTTTATTTTTTGGTGTAGCTACTTCCGATATTTTATAGTGAAACTCCATCTTTAGATATTTGATCAACTCAAATACGATATTTTGACGCAATTTAACTCACATTTATTGCCATTTATCGTCATACCAGCATTTTTTAATTTGTTTAAAACTTGTTCAGCTATTTTAAATTCATCTTTACTGCAAGCACATATGCCTATATCATTTGATATATAATTATATTTTTTTACCCACTCCGATTAACTTTTTCAATTGCCTTTGAAAAAATATAGCTTGAAGTCTTAACATCAAATGTAAGACTAGTCCATCTGAATAAGCCACTTGGGGTATTAATTGCAGTGACTTCTTTAAATTTTTTGCCAATTTCTATTCGGTTATATGCTGATTCCAGGTCAATTTTGGTAAAGTATTTCATTCCTGCTAATTCATGATATGCCGTTTCTGTATTAGGTAAGGAGAATGAATCAAAGCATATCCGATGATTCACATCTACTTTGTAATCTCCGCATATCCTCAAATCGCCATTGGGCTTTCTTATCGCAACAACTGGTGAAGCACAACTGCTACCACCTTGGGTAACTTTCTCCAGTATGCGATCTTCTATCATTTTCTTTAGTTTTGAAACTACCATGGGTAGAATATGAATCGGTTTTTTTCGAGATTCAAAATAAATTGGGTGACTATTTTCTTTTAGACAAATACTCTCTTTATATCCTTTCAATAGTCCTATGTTAAGTTCTTCTGATTTTATACAGTTTATCAATTTAGCCGTATCCACTTTTAAAACGTCTATTCCCAGTAGTCCATGATTTTTTGTACATTCTACAACAGTGATGGGAAGAATCTCAAAAGAGTTTTTCGTCTTGAAAGTTCTTTCGAAGGAGTCTAGAGCTTTGATGACAGATCCATCAAATTGTTTTAAATTAAGATTACTTTTTTTATAAATTCGGGTTTACCCATTTTCCAACAGAAATTCCTTGGGATCAAGATAACAAACTCCCCGTGTGAACCAACATGGGAAAAGTTATGCCGTTCAATTTTACTCTCTACTTTTTGCAGGTATTTTTTTTTATCGAATATACTTCTGTATTTTCAGTATGATGGTTTATACTTTCTATCGTTTCTATTCTCTTTTTGTATCTGCACACCAACTGAAAATGGTCTTTTCTTTTACAGTTTAAACATAATTTTGCTAAGGGTGGACATTTGTTTTCGTTTCTTTCGTGCTCTTTGTCGCAATATTTGCACTTAATTAGGATTTTCGTTATGTTGTATGCTTCCCCATTGTTTTTAGAATTATTAAATTCATTAATTAATTCTAGTTTCTGCAAGAATTCTACACTTACTTTTAAATTCATATCATTCGCTTGTAGCCGTTCTAGGATCTTATATTTCTATGTAACGTTATACATGCTTTCAATTATCCTTAGAAGCATCAATTCGTTTTCTATAGATATTTCTCTCGAACCCAGTTTTTCCAATTTCGCAATATCTTGTTGCTTCTTTCAATCTGTGTAAATATTTCATTACAATTTCATTTGGGTTCTGTCTATTTTCCATAAATTTTGTCCTCTATGCAATAACCAGCTTTTTTTTTATGATGGTTGATATTACGTCTTCCAATATTTTAGGGTACACCTTAATCATATTTTTCTTTATGGCTTCACATCCTGCCGTAGCCAAAAAATAAATCAGTAATTTCATTCAAGCCTCCGTAGGCTTTCTTATCTTTTAGTTTCTTTACCCTAACCAACTCTGCGAAACATCTAATCCAAGTTTCTACGTGCTTCGGTTCAACCATCGCGGTTACGGATCCTATCGGCGACACCATATTGTTATGAAGTAGACTACTGTCTGGAATAGACGTTGTCAGGTCAACCAACAGATTGTAGCTCAAATGGCATTCGCTCTGTCGTACTGCCTTTATAGCAGTACCGTAATTGCATACAATATTACAGTTCTATGTTAATATAATTGCAAAATCATATATAAAAAAAATTCCTTGTGGCTGGTTAGAGAGCTTTGTCTGGTTAAATATTATAAGTAAGTTCGATCCTTGATGGGTGTTCATACAAAAGAATTTGATTAAAATCCAACAACGGCTAACATGTCATAAAATCAATCAACCAGTAATTCTGGTTAGTAAAGATCTTGCTTGCTGCATCTTTTCGATAAAAGAATTTGACACTAACTTCTTACATGCCACAGTTTTTGTTTTCTTTTCTTGAATTTTTGGAGTGTCGTAAATGTTTTTAAGATTTTTTCATTTTATTTATTTTCATTTCTTCTCCTTTTGCTTATTCCTGTTTTTATATATTTTATTTATTATTTATTTACTTCATGAATTATTATTTATTTATAAATTAATTAATTTATTTATTTTATTCTCCTTACTTTTCCATTTTGTTATTTAATTTCTTATGACGCCTAAGTTTCTTCCTCTCTGTTTATCTGTTTCTTTGTCTGTCGTAAAAATTCTTTCTTTCTTTATTGTTTTTTCATACACTTTCTTCGTTTCATTCTTTTTGATTTCTTCTTTTTAAATCACCTTTCTTACATACATTCATTTTTAATTCACTCTTCATTCTTTCTTTCTTTGTTTCTTGTTTTTTTAATTTACACTTCTTTCTTTTTTTTTTTTTTTTTTTTTTAAATTCAGCATTCTTTTGTTTATCCTTTCTTTCTTCTTAATTCCCCCATTTTACAGTTTTCCCGCTTTTCATTCACAATTCTTTTGTCCTTTATTTCTTTTAAATTCACCTTTCCTTATTCTGGCTTTTTATTTCACACTTTTTACATTCTTTTTATCATCTGCCTTACATTTTTTATTTCTTTCTAATTCTCTAATCTTACATTCTATCTTTTTTTTTTTTAACACACTATTCTTCAATTCTTTCTTTTTAATTCACCCTTCATACATTCTTTCTTTCTTTTTCATTCACCCCTCATACACTCTTTCTTGTTTTTTTTAATTCACCCTGTTTATATCCTTTCTTTCTTTTTGATTCACTCTTCTTATATTCTTTGTTTCTTTTTAATTCACATTTGTTTGTTTGTTTCTTTCTTTTTAATTTATCCACTTCACATTTTTTCTTGTATTTTAATTCTTCCCTATTACATTCATGATTTTAATTCATCTTTCTTTCTTTCTTTCTTTCTATTGTTGGTAATAAGTGCCCTCTTCATCTCTACTTGATTCTCTCTCTATATATATCTTCTTTCTTTCTTTCTTTTTTCTTTCTATTGTTGGTAATACTTGTCTTCTTCATCTCTAGTTGATTCTCTTTCTATATATCTTTCTTTCTTTCTTTCTATTGTTGGTAATACTTGTCCTCTTCATCTCTAGTTGATTCTCTCTCTACATATTTTCTTTTTTTCTTTGTTTCTATCTTTCTTTCTTTCTTTCTTTCTTTCACTGTTACCTGTTTAATCGTTGGTATCATTTTCTTAAAAAATGATTAATTTTCTTTCATTTTCCATCCTTTATTTTATTTCGCCTGCTCAAGTATTTTTGAAAAGATATCACATTCAACTGGACCTTTTCCGAAAACAAAAAATCGTCGCAATTTCCTTGAATATGTCAAGTAATTGATCTAAACTCAACAATAGCCTCGTTTTCACTTCATGAAAAGCTAAAGAGCGAAAACAATTTATTCAGATCAAATTTTCTCTATTCATTTCTTTTGTCTCTTTCATTGTACCACGATACAATAGTAGTAGTAGTAGTTGCAATAATAATAATAATTTCCCAAACATACGAAGTAAGAAAATTTTAAAGGCTCCATGCCGCTCTTTTAACATAATTTAAAGTAATCTTTTATTCGGTAAGCAAACGTATTAGATTGGACAACTAGGGTGGTCTAAAATTGTATATGGATTGGTGAGGCTGGTGTATATTGCTATAATTTAATCATATGAAGAAAGACCGATTACGAAAAGCTGGGAAAATAACAAGAGGTATTTAGTAAATGTTTTGTAATTGTAAATTCTGCAATATCCAATCGGTATAAGTCATTTCAATTTCTAGGTAATTTTCTTCCGTTTGTTTAATGCAGAAATGATCTCAACATATATTTTTTGCCCTCAAAAAATAATAAGGCAGACACACACGTGCAGATAAACACACACACAGAGATAGACCTCCCCATACACACACACACACACACACACACACACACACACACATATATATATATATAGTTAGATAGATAAATACATAGAGAGAGAGAGAGAGAGAGAGGAGGGGGGGAGGCAGGCAGGCAGGCAGAGGCAAGCACGTGGTCGAGTGGGGAGAACGTTTCGTATTCTGGCCATGAGACCCAGGTTCGAATCTCACCATGGTCAGAAAGGAGACTTCCTGATGTTATCGGACTGTACCCCAGCGTGCAGCACCTCTGGAAGTGCCTGAAAACCATACTCAAGCCTTGGTGCATCGATAGTCATCGTGAGCGTGCTGGCTTTGTTCACATTGTTGATCACGCTAGATAACACGCTCCTTCCCAGAAACTCAGTTACTTACAGTATCTGCTCAGCTAGTAGACGGATATCCATTATATATATATATATATATATATATATATATATATATATATATATATATATATATATATATATATATATATATATATATATATATATATAAAAAATTTTAGTTTTATCTAAACGAATCGTAGTTTAGCAGAACAGGTAAAAGGGATGGAATAAACGCCCTATTAGACGGATATGAACCTTTACATTAAATATATATATAGCGTTATCCTTCAGAAAATTTCGAGTTTTATCATATATTTAATTATTTCTTTAAACGTTTCATCTTAAATTTGTGGATTCGACGTTCCCTGCAAAATATGATCTTGAAAACTGTAAAAGATGTAAAACGTAAAGCTGAATACAGATAGAACTAAAAAGGGATAGAGCACTTTATGATCCGTCATGGGCGATGCGATAATTTGCATAAACTGGTTAATACATTAGTTTCAGCGATTGTGGAATACTTATTAAACAATCAAGTGTGTGCTATGTCGATTACCAGCGATTTCTTTATTAATCAGCAGAGCGCACCCCGATTACCATATGAAAATATTAGTGACATTATATATTAGGTCTAATTTTTTAGACGGGATCTCTTCTGGGACTTAATGTAACCAGAGTGTAGCGATCTTTTCTCTGTCGATTCCATTGCTGTTCTTAATTATTGGCTTTTTAGACGTTGTGCACACAATTTGCTCGTTTGTCCTCGATTGGCCCCGAAGAGCGTGGATCGAAAACCGGTCCGCTTCTTTTTTGTTATTTTCTTTTTTATTGTTTCGACTCATCTCTTTACGCTTATTTATTTTATTATCGCTGTTCTCTATATTTATTATATTGATATGCAATTTTAATATATTCGTTTTTATAGGATTAATAAAGTTGTGTACCCCCATAGACTGTTTAAAAATGTAAATTTAGGTCCTCAGTAACATTTCATTTATTCTCAGTATCCCTTTTTGTATATATATATATATATATATATATATATATAATTTATCGAGTAGGTTTTTTTTTGTAATTATTTTTTTGCTCCTGGTTCGAGACTGTATTTGAGTATTTAGGTCTTTTTTGATCAGTGGTCCGTTGGTCCCACAAACGGATTTGGTTTTTCTTTAATCTCTCTCTCTCTCTCTCTCTCTCTCACTATATATATATATATATATATATATATATATATATATATATATATATATATATATAGTGTATCAAAAAAATACTTTTTACAAATTTTGGAGGTGGATTCCTCACACCCAAACAAGGACAAAAGTCCATGAAACATATGTTCGCAAATCCGTCGTTTTTGAGTTATTAAGTTTGACGAAAGTTTACGGTAGATGGCGCTGTGTTGCCACGTAGACTAGGTTACATTTCTCATTCGTGTACATTTGTGGCTAGTCTGTCTTCAACGTTTAACTTGTGTAGTAATGGATTTCTTGATAAGTGTTCCGTTTAACAATGGCGGGGTATTCATATCGTTAACAGGCAGATATAAGTTTTACATACGGCCGCGAGAATGGTAATGGATGTGAGGCTACACGGCTGTATCAGATTGCGTTTCCAGACCCAGTCATTCGACCTTTGCTATTGTTTATGTGGCACCACAAACTATGAACCGAGGAAAACTGAGATACGCTCGTACGCCTGACGACACTCTACAGGCTGTCGGAGAACATCCAGGTATCAGTACACGTCAAGTGTGCTGATATATAACCGTAACTTGAACATTTTAGCAACAGTAGTTGGGTAATACTGCTTTTAGTGTATTGACTTAATAAACTCGGACATCGTCTGTCGTTAGAACATTAACGCTTACAATAACATTTTAAGCAGAATTAGTATAAAAATAACCAAAGTCATCTTCTAAAATTCTTAGCTTTTCTTCCAACTATCAATAAACCGGTCACGTTTCCCGCCAAAAAAACAATTCTCTTTGTGTTTTTTAAAAACGCACTTCATACAAGCTCCTGCAAGTAACAGTTTTCGCACGCTTGTGTAATTAATCTTATTTCTTTCATTTATTCTTACCCGCTCGCAATAATTTCCAAGAAGTGAATTCCTTGCTCAAGTAGGCGTAACAGTCCAATGAATTTTGGTTGAATGATAGTCCGGAGCTGAAACGTTGTTGTTAGGTTTACTTTTTACTTATTAAACATTTCATTAGGTTAGACCGACAAAATGAATGTAGATAACATTTCTACTCTGATTAATGGAACATTTTCTTTGTTATTCTATATGGTTAGGTTAGGTTTATTTAGTTTATTTTGTTTTACGGCATATCAACCTCCTTGGGTCATTTTAAATGTAGACAAGATTTTTAGTTCGTATGGATAAAATAAGTATTCTTTGTAAGAAATCAGTTTGTAGATCAAGCTTCATTGACATATCTTTGTAAAGGATTTTTTTGTCGAAAGTCAAATGTATTGCTGGTAATTATTTTTTTTTCAAAAATATATTACTGGTATTTTTACTATAAAATCCCATTTTATACTTTCATAGTGTTCTGGGCCCAGTTTGTGTATTAACTATTTGTCCATATTTGAAACCCTAACAGATACTACAACACCGGGTCAGGATGAACTTGGGAACAGCAACAATTAAGAGGTGGTTCCACGCTCCTCAAAACTTTCAGGTCAGAGGCCTTGCTGCTGGACGTAGTTTATCGTCATACCCTGGACATTATATGATTAAGTCTAAGCACTTTTTTCTTCCTTTGCGTATTTTTTGCATACGGTTCTTAATATTTTCTATCATAATTTGTTCATGTCCATCGAAACTGTTCAGTAAAATCTTCAAGAAAGGAAAGCAGATGTAACTAAAAAAACACTTTCACTCTCATAGAGATGTTCAATGCTATGTCCCTTCAGGGCGTAGGAGATCAGGACTCTCCACAGATTCTGTCTCTGTTATCTGTAAATTGCCAGGTATTATTACGAAAGATAGGGGTAATGGATTCCCGTTGCTTTCTCAATAGTCGTGTATACATAACGTCTGATTTGCTGATTGATTTTTGTTAATGTCGATCTGCTTGACCCATATAAGAGAACCGATTGAACAGTTGACTTAAACATTTGCATGTTTAGGAATTTTTTTTTTTCATTTTTGGTTTTGAGTTGGTATTTCATTTTGAAATTTAAGATCAACACTATAAAATCATGCGGAAGACAAAAATGAAAAACAAAAAACTGACAGTGCAACCCTTTAAGTCATCTGTAAAAACTAAAGAAATATGTTCTGAAGCAATAGATCGTGTTGCGTAAAGCAACAAACATCTGCTTCGTGGAGGAACATCATTATCAACGGCAAGGAGATAACGTCTCAAAAATGTGGCACTGTAACATTATGATCATTGAATGTATTGAATTATATTTGACTGAATAGACGACAAGAGCGTAATAATAAAATAGAAGCTAACATTTAACCACATTAACCATAAAGACATTGATTACTTTTATAATTATATTAGACAGAATAGACGATAATAGCCCAATAAATAAAGTGAATATCTGTCTATTTTTCTGAGATGAGGTATTATGTACATTATTTACATTATTCGGACTATTGTCCTCATCTTTGTCTCCATATTTATTATATCGTTTCGGCCGTTGTACGCTCCGGCCTTCTTCAGGTGATTAGAATTTCGAATCGGACGCTTTATTTCGTCCGCCAGAGTAGATTGTTCTAGTTCTACGTATTATGACCAACGTTTTTATCGCCTGGGCCATGTGTACATGGCTCAGTGGATAAAGACGTTGGTTAGATCTAGTAACTAGACCCAAAGAGTCGTGAATTCAATACCAGGCCACAGCTGTGGTGAGAAATAACTGAGACATCCGAAAGAGGCATGGCACATGGAACTAGAATATTCTACACCCTGTGGACGAATTAAAGTGTTCGATTCGAAATTCCAATCACCTAAAGAAGGCCGGGGCGTA